CAAGGCATGAGTTGTTGCTATATTGGTAAAAAATCGATAACAATTGGTGTGACGTATAAGGCATGATAGTATAAGCTTATACTATACGTTATGACATTTTCAGTTGTTTGGTGTGACCATCGTATAGTATAAGCTTATACAACATAATCCCTTAATACATCAAAATAATGTATAACTTAATCCGGCCTAAGGGTGAGGGATAAGACCTGATAAGAGATTGATGTATTAGCATCGTTGACCAATGTAATTCTAAAAAATTAATATATTATTTTAATATTAATCTATTAAAATAAAAATTAATTTTTCAATATATTAATTTTTAAAATATTGAATACTTTTATTTTTATAAAAATTAATTTATATTTTGAACACACTGATCAATAAATTTTTTAAAAAATTAATATCATATGACATTTTTTGAAGAATTATATAAATTCTTTATTAAAGTATATTTTTATCGTATATAATATTATACACTGCATTACCAAATACTAGATGATATTATCTTATACAATATATTATTTTATACAATACAGTGCCAAACACTGGATAGTATTAAAATTCAATCAGGTCTTATACAATCAGGCCTTATACTATCAGGCCTTATCCTATACTATGTACCAAACATGTCCTAATTGTAAGTTCGAATATTGGCCGATTTTTTGATTATATATATATATTGGGGGGAGGGGGTTATATATTTTGATATAAACTGACAAAATATAACAAATACGGTATTAAAATATCATATAACATATAATAAATGATAATTTAAATATTTTTAATCTTATATGTTATTATATTTTTAAACTCTCAAAATAAGGTTTTTTTTGTTAAATGATTGAGTTTAAAGATTTTATTCTTAGAAACTAATAGTGAGTTTTTTTTTCCACCTAAGACTTATTATTACTTTTAGTATTACTAATTAAAGTGCGGGAAACTTCAAAGAGTAAGCATAAACCTATTTGATCATTAATTCCAAAATTCTGACTAGAAGATTTTTTTTAAAAAAAGAAAGAAAGAAAGAAAATATTCATCCGTGGCTCATTAGTGTCTTAAGAATAGATGAGTATTTAAAAAATTTAATAATTAAGAAATTTAAACCTATACACTTTACAGATTGCAAGACTATATTTACAGTCGTAAAATCAATTGAACAAATCTGCGTTGATTAAAAAAAAAATTTAATAGTAAATGGGCGTTTGGTTGAGGAAAATTTTTATGAATAATAGGGAAATGATATACATTGGGAAATGGGTGGAAAGTGAATTTGGTAGAAAAATGTTAGAAAAAGTTGTTTGGTTGGAAAATATTTTACCAGGAAAATTAAGTAAATATATAATGTCTTTGGATGTAAGGAAAATATAGATGAGAAAGAAGGTTGGAAGTTACGAAAATAACCCTCTCTTCAAATTATTTTGAATTAGTATCAACTACCCTTTATTCGAATGTCACCAAAAAAGAAAGGAGGGCATCTCTGTCATCGCGCTCACCAAATAGCTAGCTAAGTCAAAATAACACACCATGAAGTGGATTTATTTCGCCGATTTTTTCGTTTCAGATTGGTAGGCAAACGGGAGAACTAGGAAAGTCATTTAGATAGCCAACTTTGAAAGCAGTCCAACCAAACTTGGTTCTCCAACAATCCCACTTGCAATTTTTCCATCTTTCTCCACAAAATCCACCAACCAAACGCCCCGTAACGGTTCCGCCATTTTAGCTGGCAAGGGCAAATACCTCAACAATCTCATAATTTAATCGTAAACCGAAACAAAGAACAAACAAGAAAAATCCAAGTCCATTTATTTATATTTTAACTTACATAATTTAATTCATGAAACCTTATTCATGATAGATAAAGTCAAAGTACATCAATAATAGCATACTTAATCAACAATGTTTTAACTTGCGATTGAAAAAAAATAAGACACCAACTTGTTTCTATGCGACATGACACTACCATTTGGTTAGTACATAAATTTATGTTTAATTAATTAATATTAATATATAGGTTAAATTATAATACAGTTTCTTCTAATTTTATTAAGGGTTCACTTTTTCTACAGTCAATATAGATAACTTATAGGTTATTAGCGAGTAATGAGTTATTTAAAAATATGGAAATCTCTATTTGAAACTTTAATAAAAGGCTTTAATGTTTCTAAAGTGAATGTAAATAAGTTATCTACATTCGTTCTCAAAACGACGTCATTTTAGATCGAAAATCAAGGTATTTTGATAATTATAATTTATTTTAAGGTTATAATAGTCTTTTTTCATTATAATTTTTTAAATTTTTCAACCCAAAACGACGTCGTTTTGAGAACGAATGTAGATAACTTATCTACATTCACTTTAGAAACATTAAAGCCTTTTATTAAAGTTTCAAATAGAGATTTCCATATTTTTAAATAACTCATTACTCGCTAATAACCTTTAAAATTTTAATATCTTTTGTTAAAGTATAAGGACTTTTCTTTTTTATATTTCATTTGTATTTTTAAATGACTTATTTAAAAAAAATTAAACTACAAAGGTCTATTCGAACATTCAGAAGCAGAACTTACAAAACATTTAATCTAATATATTAGAGAAAATATTTTTTATTTATATTTATTTCATCTTAGGTTTTTTTATTCAATTTTTTTCTTTTACATTTGAAGTAGTAAATATTAAATTGACTTAAAGTCTTTAGAATCAATTATAAATACTTTAAAGTTAGACGAGACCTCATAGAAAAATCAAAGTCTTTTAACAAACTCAAATTGTTATTTATTTATCCTAATTGTTTATTATTTTATGAATGTTATCAACATCAACAACACTTTTATTCTAAATTAATTGTGGTTGATGATAGATGAACTTAAATAAAAGATACAAAAAGGTTGAAAAAAATAGTAATATATATATATATATATATATATATATATATATATATATATATGGGACATGTTATTCTGCCTACTCTCATTCTGGCTACCTTTGCCTACCTCTTTGATTACCGTTCGATTACAATACAATCCAACGGTCTATATTTGCCAAATAAAATAAACCATTTTTCTCCTCACTTCCTCCCACACCCTTCCTCTCTCCTCCCTTTTCTCTCTTCCTCGGTGCCATACCTATTTTTTTTTATCGCTGGTGTGTGTCGCCGTGGACCTCTTTAACCCCCCACCCTCTCCAACTCCATACGAAGTGAGAAGATTTTCAACTTCAGAAAAAGAATTTGAAAACAAAAAAACAAAAACCCTTTCTTTTTCTGCATCTCTATTCAAAGCGGCGATGCCACAAGGTGGGTTCTTCATTGTCGGCTTCTGATAGCGAGAAACACAAGGCAACACGATGCAATAATATCCAAGAGGTTTCAGGTTGTTTATGGAACATTAGATTAGATTGTAATCGAACGGTAATCAAAGAAGTAGGCAAAAGTAGGCAAGATGGGAGTAGGCAGAATAACCTATATATATATATATATATATATATATATAAGTAAAAAAGAAAGGGAAAAGAAGAAAAGGGGGAAATGAAGAGGAAAAAGACTAAAAAGTGACCATCTGGAACATAAGAATAACAATGGGTCTAACCCTCTACCATGCTTATAGCTCTTATAAGGTATACCGTCCGCCAATCTATACCCAACTCCATTAAATCTTGTTTTACTACCTTCCCCCGAGTAAGTTTCAGTCTACCTCTACTTTTTTTTTTGTCGAGTTCCTGGTAACAAACTTTTGTTCTCACGGGAGCATCAGGGACCTTTCCATTACGTGCCAAAACCACCTCAATCTATGTTTGTTCTCTCATCTTTTCAGCCACTGGTAGTACTTCTACCTTTCGTCGAATATCTTCATTTCTTATCTTATCTATCCTTGTATAACCACACATCCACATTAACATACTCATATCTGCTACTCCCATTTTATGTTCATGTTGCCTATGTGCTGGCCAACATTCAACTCCATATAGCATTGCAAGTCTTACTGCTGTTCTATAGAATTTTCCTTTTAACCTAAGGGGGATTTTGCAGTCACTCAAAAATCAGATACACTAAGCCATTTCATCCACCTGCTCTGATTCTATGATTTATATCTTTATCAATCTCTCCACCTTTTTGCAAAATGGATCTCAGGTATCTAAAGATATCTTTTTTGGTATCTCTTGACCACTTAGATGCACGAGATCTTGGTCTACATCTTTTACCAAAGAAAACTCACATACTCAGTCTTGTTCCAACTTAATGTGAATCATTTAGATTCCTATATGCTTTTTCACATTTCAAATTTTCTATTAATAACGTCTTTGTTCTCATCAATAAATATAATATCATCTGCAAAAAACATACACCACAGCATGATGATCACCTCCACCGTCTTTATGAATGTTATATTAAATAAAAATAAAAATATGTATAACCTGATCAGTGATCACCTCCACCGAATAGGTTGAATTTTTATTTATTTATTTTTCTTTCAAAAACCGACCCCCACCCTGTTTTCACAACTCGATTTCTGTCCACGTGGCATGATGAGACAACAACATTATTTGAATTTGTCATTTAAAAATAAATAAAAAACACCAACTTGTTTTGGTGGAATATTAGTATGACAACTTCTGCCCTTTGGCCTGTATAAAAAATTAACGTACCAAACGTCGGGAGCTCTGTACACGGGAGTTGTTATATAGGTTAGGTTGAGAATATGTATTTGATTTTTTTTTTTTTAAATTATATTTAAGAAGGATTTAAAGTGTTATTGAATAAAATTGAAATGAAGTAATAAATTGATTAGAATATTTTTAAAAAATAAAAATAAAAATTAACGTTTAATTAATATTAATAAGTATATAATGCAAAATTTTCAGGCACGATTTTTTAATTTAATAAGAATTTTAGTTTGCACTGGGGACCAATAAGAATTGGATATAATTTTAATAGGAAGGGGAAGTTTCGAAGAACCTCAACTTATTCAGAATTGTTGTTATTCTTTGCTCCCTCACTTTTGTATTGTTTTATACGATATTCTGTTTATTAATTAGCCTTCCTTTTGAACCTTTCAATATTGTGTCGCTATTCCATGACGATGCTCGCTTTATCCAAATTCAACGTTTGAGTTTTCTATGCATTCGTTTGATTTTTTCAACTTGGGCATTCAACAAGGTAAATACAGTTTTTCTTTAGTTTTATTTATTTATTTTATTTTGTTTTGTTTTCAGTTGTATTACTTTGTTGGGCTGAGTAGAATTTGAAAGACTGCAACTTTAATTCAGGGTTTGATTCATAATGCGCATGGTGGGGTGTATTATGAGATTTCTGTGAACCTATCTATTGGGGTTTCCTTACTTTCAGTCATTTTAGATCAATTCCATATTGCAAATAATAGCACAGCAATGACATATAGGTTGTTCTAACGGATATGAGATTTGGAATGTCAAGTTTATGAGATAGGAGATTTGAAATTTGAAGTTGGAGTTTCTGGATTACGTTGTTTGATATCATTTTGTTTATTAGTTGGAAGCCTAATTTGGGGTTGGTGGAGAAGGTTATGGAACTAGCTCAGCATAGAGTAATGGAGAATGGGGTAGCTGAGGAGATGGACGGTGAGACTTCTGCACAGGTGCCTCTCAGGGAGCGCAATGTCTACCCTTCCCATCCTGCAGGCTTGGTGAAGAAGAGAGCTTATATATTTGATGGAATGGGGAATTTTTATAATAAGGATTGGGATCTAGCAGAGCTTTATCAAAAAGGAAAAAATGAAGGGGATGTTGAGGAAGGCCGAGGGAATGAGTTTTCTTGGTACCATGTGGAACTCCCAAAAGGAAATCAAAAGTTGTCACAATCTGCTCAGGACCTGATTGGTGTTCTTTGTCCACCTTTGAAACTCCAAGACATTCTCTCGCTTGTTAGCAATGGACCCTTTTGCGCGCATGTAGACGGGGCACTTGTCTTTCGGGTTAATTCACCTGGTCCTCCTTCCAGTGACTTCACATTTAGAATTGCTGCCAGAGTTATGGAAAATTCAGTAATTACTGTGTCCTTGGGGCGTGTTCCCAGGTTAGGTTTCTCACGCATGGGTGAATCTCTACTTTCGGAGATTCCTAGTGTTGAAAGTTCCCCTCATTTTAAAGGTCAGCAGCAGGAAAGAAGTGGGACTGTGATCAAGGAGCATGTTCTTGAATTCTTATTGACTATGAATCACTCTGAGGAAGCTGACAATCCTGTACCTAGATCTGTCTCAAATCTTGTAGTTCACATAATTGACACACATGTAGATCAGCTCCAAGATCTTGTTACGAAGCTTGAGATGGAGTTGGACTCTGTGGAGCTTGACTTGGATAAAGGTAATTTCCATTATACACTCCTTGCGCCCGCCCCCCATCCCTGTCCCATTCTATAACAATGACATTCACTACCAAAATTTTATATGCTTGTATTATTCCTAGTTAAATGGTTTTCAGGATATATTCATTCTGAACTTTTAGTACTCTTCTTATCTTACAAATTCAAGTTGTTCTTGATTGTGGCAATATGCCTTAGTTTCTGTTGATTGACTTAAAAGAGACAAGAATTTAGATGTACTTTATGGCCTTTCTAATGTAGAAGGGTTGATATTATCTAAGAGATGACATTTAAATTTTGTGATATTTAATTTGTTTTTTTCCTCTAATTTCATTCAACAAAATATGTTGATAAAAGTAATTGAATGTAACCCTAAATCTTTATGGATTAGTTTCTAGACCTTGGAATAGACAAACAAAAATTTAAGTTGTCTCTGTTATATTTTTGTATGCATAGGAGCAGAGGAAAGGGACCCAACTAAAAGAGTTATCCGAATGCCTTTTGCTGATTGTTTCCTTTAACATCTATTAACTGAGTCAATTATTTCGTTATCCAACATCTTAATGATGTATTGTCTTATCAAGATGTTATATGGTGCATTGCTAGTCTTTTCATTGTTGGCTCGTTTATTCTTGCATTGATTTCTGCGAGATTATTAATCTGAGTGAACAAATTATTAGCTATTCACTAGAGGGAAAAAATTGAAAATTTAGTGCCTGCCCTACAGAATCTCTTCTCTAAGAAATAAGACGACATGCCATCTCTAGCAAATTGTATTTAAGTTTCTCTTAACATGCTCCTATGTTCAATACGTTTCCAATTGGAGGATATATTTTACCTTTGTGAAAAGGCTAGAAATATGCCTTTCAGTTAAAATATAATTATAAATAAAACTTGTGCATGTATGGTATGCTAGTGTTGCACATAGGTTTTAGAAATTACATAGATCTTCTCTGAAGTTTGAAAAAAATAAACTGGCCTCCTTGTTTGCTAAATTACATAGACCTTTGGTTTTATGAATCTATACATGACATCAGGGCATATTTATGCTATGTTGAAATGTAAAACGAGGGAACATTAGTGTAATTTAAGGATAACTAAAAAAGAAAAAGAAAGAAGAATGAGGGGTTTTATGTCATATTAAAAATTTATTTTTGAATTAAGAAGCGAGGTTCCTCTAATTTGATAGAATCTCATGTGAAGTCCATAAGATTTGCTTCCCTTTTTTCTTACATATCTTAATATTTATGCATAAAATTTAGCTAATGGCAATATGATTATTGATTTTATGAAAACATCTATATATATACATTAGTTTCAAGGTCCACTTAGTATATTTTGATTCTAGCTAAAAGTTTTGACTGAATCTTGTTTCCAAATTTGGCTGTGCACTTGCATCCTCGTCTGTCTCTCTTTTATGGTAGCGTAGTCCTCATGTGTGCGGGAGTGGTGGTAAAACATTTGTGCCTTTAAATGAGTTTACTGCTGATATGAAATGAGGAAGGCCTCGTAAAGGTCATTTAGGACATAATATTTACAGAAAGAAAGTGACTGCTACAGTTCTTCTGGCTAAACTAGGGAAAGAATTCCTGTTGTAGCTGGTTTATGAACTAATAAGAATGTTCACGTTGCATTTTGATGTAGTGTAGGCTAATGCTTAACTTCAAAATCTCTTTTTGATCAGGTGAACTTAAATATTGTCATCTGAGTGACTTTTGTGTATAAACTGAAATTTCTGTTTTGCTTTTGTGCAAGTTGCTTCTATACTAGTTCCTTGATGTGCAATATTTGTAATTTTTTTACACAACTGAATTAAGGAACAAGTATTCTGCTTGACTGTAGGCGGTTATGCTCTGAAGAAACAAATGCTAGATGACAGAAGATTCCCCAAACTGCATATTAATTTGCAGCGTCTCCTGCAGGTGCTACTTTGCTCATTTTATGCATTCATTCTGATTTAATATTATGGACCCTTTGGAGGAGAAACAAAATGTTACGGAACCAGTCATATGGAAGGTCTACTCCTGTAGGAATAATATCTCAATGGCAATAAAAGAGAGGTCATTAGAGTTGTTGCGACCATTGTGAAATAAAAGGAACGAAAGATCAGAGAACTTGCAAGGAAATGCAGGTTTGCAACCTGAATCATAGATGAAGAAAAAAAAAATCTTTATTAGAGCAAAGAAAGGATACATGAGCACTCTCTTGCCATGGAACTAGCCCTTAAATCTGAGAAAGTTTCTCAGCCAAACACTAACAAAACAAATTGCCTGCCTATCTTATAATAGGTTCCTCCTTATATTTAAGATTTATTTTATAACGGCTGCCATAGCTTTCTATTTTATTGTTGGGAAGGGAACGAGGGAGCCCAAAACCCTTTGCAAATGGTACATCCACCAATGGGCCAAATGACAAACCATAATAAGTGGACCGACACCACATCTAAACCCAAAACCTTAAGGTTATAGGTTTATGGGTCTTTCACACTTATATGGTCATCACTTGGTCTATGTCTAGTCTATGTGATACTTCTTTACAACTCATACTTGATTATTTCCAACATCCTCTCTCAAGTGTGAGATCGAATATCATTCTTACCCTAAGGGCAACTTCTGCCGAAGTCTTTTTTTTTTTTTCTCTCTTTCAAATATTAGGGTCACACTAGCTTTCTGCAGAGGCCTTCCAAACACTTGGCCCAGATCGTTGGCTCTGATACCACTGTTAGGAAAATTCGTTCCCTCAAACTCCAATGTCAAGCGGGTCCAGGGGAAGCCCGTGGCGGGGAACCACCACCAATGAGCTAAGGCTACACCAACCGTAGCAAGTGGATCCGACACCATGTCTCAACCCAAAACCTTAAGGCATTGGGTTCATGGGTCCTTTCACTTATATACTCTTCACTTAGCTCATTACCAACCAATGTGAGACTCATCACACTTGAATATCTCAACAATCTCCCCCCTCAAGTGTGAAACCCACCATTGGTATACTCCCCCTCAACCGAGTACCCAAAGCGCAAAGTACTCGACCCGCCTCCTAGCCAATCACTAGGCTAGCTCGAGCCCAATCCGGCTCTGATACCACTGTTGGGAAGGGAATGAGGGAGCCCAAAACCCTTTGCAAAGGGTACATCCACCAATGGGCCAAATGACAAACCATAATAAGTGGGCCGACACCACATCTCAACCCAAAACCTTAAGGCTGTAGGTTTATGGGTCTTTCACACTTATATGGTCATCACTTGGTCTATGTCTAGTCTATGTGATACTTCTTTACAACTCATACTTGATTATTTCCAACATTTATTTCATACCGGCTGCCATAACTCTCGTAACCTCTCTTTTATTTCATAACGCCATAACTCTAATGACCACTCTTTCGTTGTCATTTGAGGTATATTCCTACATAAAGCTGGAGTTTTAATAAATCTCACTAAAGCTTATTATATTACCGAATCTTGAATAATTAAACATTACAGTTTTGCGATCTAGCAAAACGGTTGTGGATCTCATCATTATAGGATTCAATAAGGGTGTCTTTTGGATTCATAAATACAGATTAATCTGGGGGAGAGGGTATAAAAGGATAATTACAGGTTTTATTCTGCATGCAAGGAATTAGTGTGTTTCCATTTTCCTTTTGTTACAGTTCCAGCTTGCTCAAAATTGCTTTAAAAAAAAAAAAAAAAAAGGCTTTTTGGGAACATAATTGTATTTGTGACGTGCTAGACGGAAAACTGAACAAGTAAAGAACAGAACTGTTATTTATCAAAAAAGAGAACAGAACTGTCAGCATGCATATGCAAAATGTGGTAACGAGGAATGTTACCATGACTGGGAGGACATTACTGTTTCCATCTGATTTGTTCTCATATTTGTTCTCTGATTTGATAAAGAAAAGAACTGTTATTTATCAAAAAAAAAAGAAAAAAAAAAAGAACAGAACTGTCAGCATGCATATATGCAAAATGTGGTAACGAGGAATGTTACCATGACTGGAAGGACATTACTGTTTCCATCTGATTTGTTCTCATATTTATCAAATCAAATTGTGTGGACTAAAATTCCTTTTGGTTTTGCATCAACTTAATTTTATTCAGGTGATTGCCCATGGAGAGCAAGTATATCTCAGAGTCAAAGAAAAATGCTCTTCAAAAAAATGGTTTGCCAATGAAGACATTAACTCCCTTGAAGAACTAATTGGAAGGTTAAGGAGGCTGAAGGAGAATGTAGGGTTTATAGTAAATCGTGTCACAGCAATTCAGGCTGGTCTTGACAGCTGGCAGTCCGAGCAAATAAACAGGAAGCTGTACTATCTTTCGTTCCTTTCAATAATATTTCTCCCTTTATCTATCATAACAGGAGGTCAGCAATCTGATTTTTTTATAAACTTTAATTATCAGCATCCACAGGCAATACTGTATGGTTTTGATTTTTGGACTCTGATTGCAGTGTTTGGCATGAATGTTGGAGGAGTTCCATGGACAGGTCAAACTTCCCCAGAACTAAAGAATGGTTTTCGTAATGTCTTGTTACTATGCGTCGTTATGCTACTTCTTGTGCTTCTCTGCTTCATTTTTCCGGCGCTTTATACCCGAATAGCCACAGCTTGGCGAAATAAGAGATCTCTGGGAAGAAACTGGTCATTGAACAGGAAGTCATTGCTCAGGAGACCTTTAAGAATAGATCAGGAGAGAGGGGGCTACCTTCGGATTTAATGGTGAGAGTGTGTCTATATCATTTTTATTGCACTTGCCTATTTCATTCCATGAATGAACATTCAAGTCACACTATCACTTTCTTCTGTTTTCAAGAATGTCTCACTCACTGACAAGCAATTTTATCAGCTGGTTTTCAATGACTCGCACGAAAGAAACATAATAAACTGACAATTGGTCATCAGTAAAATAATCACCTGAAGCCCGAATGGAATCCTGGAGACTGTGATCAAGACAAGCTTATTGCTTATTCTTTAATTGTTTTTACTTTTTCCCTTGGGGATGGGATATGTGGGGTTCATCACTTTCTTTTTTGGCAATTATCAGGACATTTTTTTTTTTTACTTGTACAGGTTACCCTTTTTTGGTTAGTGGCAGACTTTTCTATTTCTTATATTATTAATTATAATTTATTTTTAGCATTGTTTAGATCCCTAATAGAATGGAACTACTGGGAGGTCCGAGTCAAATTGCTTCTCTGGCTAGGCATTAGTACTCTAATTACTATCCCCGAGCTCTTTTCTAAGCTGAATCTTTCACTTTCTTGATAGCAAATTTCTTTTTTTCCTCATAAAAAACGACCGAGAAAGAAGAACCAAACAATTGCTCCTGTATATATTTTATTTTCTCAATTGTAAAATAAAGATATGCGGGGGTTTTTTATTCATTTTTGTTTATGCCTGTGAATCTAAGAATTTGTGGATGTTTTTCTCTCGTGGGTTTGCCTCGCTCGCGTGCATTGATGGCAGGGAGATGAGTTCTTTTTAGAATATATAAAAAAAAAAGTTTAGTTTTTGGAGAGAAAAAGAAAAAGGGGTTTATATCTATCATGCAACATGATACAATCATTTTTCTTCCGCACACAACATTTTGTGGAGCACGCATTTTTTGAAGGAAAAAAATAAACGCACGGAAAACGAATTTCTATAACATAACAATCACTTTTCTTATAACATAACTTTTATAAAATTCAAAGAAAAATATATTAAAAGATAAGAGAAACCATGAGGGAGAAAATTATGATTTCATCTCAAATGTCAAATAATTTTGATATCAAGGATTTGGGTTATTTCAACTTAAATGATAGTTTTCAACTCGTTTAAGATAAAGGGATTAAAAATGGTTCAACAATTTACCTTTCACATTAGAGAATCAAAAAGATTAAAAAAGCAACAAAATATGCATGTTCAATGAAATAATAAGATAGCTGAAAATGCAGGTGTTATGGAATTGATATAAGGGATCATGTTTTAGAAGGCCAATAAAGGCAAACAGTTAAGAGAAAAAGAAAAGAAAAGATTCTCAAAAATATTAATCCTAGTATGATAACAATAGATTATATATTGGACCAAAAATTCATCATAAATCCAAAATTTCACTATCATAAATGGGGAGGGATCATTTGACTCCAGAGTAAGATTTAAAAGTCTTACTCTTCATCCCAGCCATTGATTTCCGTTCATCCAACGGTTATCATTTAGTAATTTAATGCATTAATTAATTATTAATTTCAAATAAATGATAACCGTTGGATGAACGGAAATCAATGGCTGGGATGAGGAGTAACACTTTTAAATCTTACTCTGGAGTCAAATGATCCCTCCCCATCATAAATAAATTCTATAAATACGAAGAAAAACTAATTTATTTTACCAAAAAGTAATAAACAGCTGCGAATAGGTCGTGGTACCGACACCGTTAGATCAGCGCTATATCATTTTAGAACCTTCTTTCTCTCACACTGTCTCTTTGTAAAGTAGAAGAACTAGAATAATCTATACAATCGCTAAAAACAGCAGAGTCTAAAACCCTAAACCCTGATTACCTCTTATAAAATCCTCTCTCACACACGCATACATTTCTCCATTTCCGTGCTGACCAATTTCCCCTTCCGGCCATGGCAGCTGCCACAGCCTTGCTCCGCTCTCTCCGTCGCTGTGATGTCACCTCTGCTTCCTTCTCTGTCCATCGCTCGGTAACATTCTTATCACTCCTCTGCTTCCTTTGCTTATTTTCTTCTTCTTTTTTGTTTTCGTTACTTAGTGGTTTCTCCAAATTACATTGATTTTTCGATGTGATCCTTTTTAATCCTTAATTCATTTCTGGTTGTCATTCTTATTGAAGGTTGATTGAATGGGAACTCTTCTGTCTTTTTGAGCCATCTATTTCTTGTTCTTTGTTCAGAATTTAGCTCAAATTGTTTAAAATTTGAACTTCCTAGTTCTCTTAATTGATTTTCTAGTGGATATCATTGTACATCCTCTCATACGAAAAGGAAAAAAAAAAAGAGAATCGAATCTTTCAAGGCAGGTTTAAAAATGGGACTTCCGTGCTAAAATACTTGTGTGGGAGATATAAATAGTTGTCACTTATTGTGTTACATATTGCCGGGGCTCATGATGTAATAGAATAGATGTTATTTTAACAAATAATTACATAAATCTATTAGAAAAAAAATTTATTTAAAATTTTCAAAGTATTAAAATCGATATTATTTGAACAAATAATAGTTATTTATTTAAAATTTAGAATATAATATAAAATAAAATTAATAAAGAAAGTGCAAATTATATATATATATATGAATTTTCATGTGATGTTAATGAAAATTGTTTTCATGTGGTCTTTGTGAATAATTTTTTATATTTTTTATATTTTAATTTGATTTGGGCTTACAAATTTTAGTTTGCAAGGTAGGCCTTACAAGTCATATTCGGTTTTCTTAGTTTTTTATAATATAGCAGGCCATAAATCAAGTATTTAATAGACTAATATGTCAGTATATGTTTCAAATATTTTATATAGACTTAGGATATCAAAGCCAAAATTTAGCTTAACTTGGCCTATTTATATCCCTAGCCGTGACCTATGAAGAACATTAACATAGAGGGACAACAAACTTCTTAATAAAAAAGAAACATGGAATAATCAGCAACAAATGTCTAAAATCATTTAAATGACATTGGATCCACATAAATCATTTAAGGGTTTTATAAGAGTTATATTGTAGGAAAAGTGATTGTGTAATGTTATAGAGATTCGTTTTGCATGTCTTAATTTTATTTTATTTTTTGTTGCTTTAAAAAGTATGGGACCCACAAAATGTTGCGTGTGTAGAAATTTTTTTCTTGTCATTTTAAAGGACAAACTAAAATCCCATCATTTAATTAGTTTTTAAATATTTTAAAAATTTTAAAATTACAAAAAAAGAAGAAGTTGTTAATGGATATGTATAAGAAATTTTGATACTCCATATATATATATACATATATCTTTATTGATTTTTCTCTTTAACAGTTTTCACTAATTAATAACCAAAATTGACATTCTTGTTATGAAATAAAATATAAATAACAACACTAAACAATTCAGTTCCATTACCAATAGCAACTGTAGCTCTAATTAAAATAATTTTTTTTTTAAAAGTAAATGTAAAACAACAAACTCCATTTTTTCAAAAGAAATAAAATCAATAACTACAACCACAAAAAAAGTTGTTAATAAAATAAAGGGGCGTAAATTTCACTCATATTAGAAACACCCAATAAGTCAACTAATTATTTTTGTTATTAAATTTAGAAGTTTTTTTTTTTAAAATAATAAGAGTAAGAATAAATAACATAAGTGAATAAAATAAAGCAGAAAAAATATACAGGATAAAAAAAAAAAAAGATAAAACACAAAAATAACCATATTATACATGTTTTTTATTATTTGTTTGTATTTAGATGGTTTGTTGTTATTTTGTATTGAATATTTGATTTTTTATTTGATATTAAATTATAATTTTTACCTTAATTAATTATATAATAAGTAAAAAAAAACAAACAGGTACCAAAGTATCTGTTGGCTTGGATGTGGCTACGCATTGCAAATAATTAAAAGAAAAATAAAAGAAAGATTCCCAAAAGTATTAATCCTGGCACAATAACAACCGATTATATATTGGACTTAAAATTCATCGTAGATTCAAAATTTTACTACCATAAGTAAATTTTTAAAATATGAGGAAAATCGAAAACTTAATTTGTTTTACCAAAAAGTAACAAATAGCCGTGATATATCTAGAACCTTCTCACACTGTCTCTTTGCAGAGGAGAAGAACTAGAACAATCGACACTATCGTTAAAAAACAGCAGCACCGTCTAAAACCCTAAACCCTGGTTACCTCTTATAAATACATTTTTCCATTTCCGTGCTGACCAATTTCCTCTTCCGGCCATGGCAGCTGCCACCGCCTTGCTCCGCTCTCTCTGTCGCCGCGATGTCACCTATGCTTCCTTCTCTGTCTATCGCTCGGTAACGTCCCTGTCACTCCTCTGCTTCCTTCGCTTATTTTCTTCTTCTTTATTGTTTTCGTTACTTGCGGTGGTTTCTCCGAATTTCCTTGATTTTTCGATGCGATCCTTTTAGTCCTTAATTCACTTCTGGTTGTCATTCTTATTGAAGGTTTATTGAGTGGGAACTCTTCTGTTTTTTTTCTGAGCCATCGATTTCTTTTCGTTCAGATTTTAGCACAAATTGTTTCAAATTTGAACTTTCTAGCTCTCTTAATTGATTTTCTAGTGGGATATAGTTTTACATCCTCCCATATGAAAAGGAAAAAAAGAAGAGAAACATAAGTCTTCAACAGTATGTTCTAGATCTTTGAATTCGAATCTTTTGAGGCAGGTTAAAAAACGGGACTTTCGTGCTAAAATACTTAGGTGGGAGATATAAACAGTTGTCACTTATTGTGTTACATATTGCTGACGATGTAGTGGCTCAATATTCTTATAGATCGTTCATGTTTTTCTGCCGACTGATTTTGTTTTTGCTCAATGATATTGGTTTTAACGACCTAATAGAAGTTTTAATGGTCGGGCTTTTACAATTTTAGAATTGCTTTAGCGTACATCGAAATCTCCTAGAATTGTTTTTCGTAGTTGGGGACTTAAAGTATGTGAATGATTGTTAATATCATGGCGTTGTCCATAGCATTATAATTAGTTGACTTGTGAATTTTATTCTTAAGGAGACTTTTTCTTACTTTCACATGGTTGTGCAGTTGACGGGCAGCACTAAGCCAGCTTATGTTGCTCACAAGTGGTCAAGTTTGTCTCGACCATTCAGGTACAATTTGTTGTTCTGGTTTTGTTAGTATCTTTTTTCAACCTTTGATCAAAATTATTTGTTGTAACTTTTCGTCTTTGCTACAGTTCAAGGCCGGCTGGAAATGATGTCATTGGCATTGATCTGGGTACAACGAATTCATGTGTTGCTGTTATGGAAGGAAAGGCAAGATCTTGTTTTTCTTAAACTGTTTATATGTGTTTCCATTTTTGTATATATGGTATTTCTGCTGACTCGAATTATATCTATTTTAGAATCCCAAAGTTATTGAGAATTCTGAAGGCTCTCGAACCACGCCATCCGTGGTTGCCTTCAACCAGAAAGGTGAGCTGCTTGTGGGTACACCAGCCAAACGCCAAGCCGTAACCAACCCAACAAACACTGTATTTGGTACCAAGCGTTTGATTGGTAGGCGATTTGATGATGCTCAAACACAGAAGGAGATGAAAATGGTTCCGTACAAGATTGTTAAGGCTCCAAATGGAGACGCATGGGTTGAAGCTAATGGGCAGCAGTATTCTCCTAGCCAAATTGGTGCCTTTGTTCTCACCAAGATGAGGGAAACTGCAGAATCTTATCTTGGAAAATCAGTTTCTAAGGCTGTAATTACTGTACCAGCTTACTTCAATGATGCTCAGAGGCAGGCAACAAAAGATGCTGGTAGGATTGCAGGACTTGATGTGCAGAGAATTATCAATGAGCCTACTGCTGCTGCACTTTCATATGGGATGAACAACAAGGAGGGTCTCATTGCAGTTTTTGATCTTGGAGGTGGAACGTTTGATGTGTCCATCTTAGAAATTTCTAATGGTGTTTTCGAGGTATGCTAATTTATTCTTCAATGTCTTCTTTTTTAATCTGTCAGAAAGAATAATATGAGAAACTGATATGCATAACATCTTCATATGAAGGTGAAAGCAACAAATGGCGACACTTTCTTGGGAGGAGAGGATTTTGACAATGCCTTATTAGAGTTTCTGGTGAATGAATTCAAGAGAACTGAGAGTATCGATCTCTCAAAGGACAGGCTTGCCCTGCAGAGGCTTCGTGAAGCTGCTGAGAAGGCTAAGATAGAACTGTCTTCAACATCTCAAACCGAGATCAACTTGCCCTTCATCACCGCTGATGCATCTGGTGCTAAGCATCTGAACATCACATTGACTAGATCTAAGTTTGAGGCTTTAGTAAATCATTTGATTGAAAGGACTAAGGCACCGTGTAAGAGCTGCTTGAAGGATGCTAACATATCTGTCAAAGATGTTGATGAGGTTCTTCTAGTTGGAGGGATGACCCGTGTGCCTAAAGTCCAAGAGGTGGTTTCCGAGATCTTTGGAAAGTCTCCTAGTAAAGGAGTAAATCCTGATGAGGCAGTTGCCATGGGAGCAGCAATCCAGGGTGGTATCCTACGTGGAGATGTTAAAGAGCTACTACTCCTGGATGTCACACCACTCTCTCTGGGTATTGAAACTTTGGGTGGTATCTTTACGAGGTTGATCAACCGTAACACTACTATTCCGACCAAAAAGAGTCAGGTAATTCTCAAAATCTACTGATGATTGCATAAGACTATCGTTTTTAAGTTGGCAGTCTCTGAATAATGGTATCGGTCTTTTCAAAATAGTTTAACACTGAAACCATATGAATGTTTTGTTTTATTGAAATCCCCCATGTAAGTATCTAATTCACTGCACTGCACTGCACATACACATATTCAAGAATTAAAAATTGAGCCTATTCAATTTAGTTGCTATGTGGTCGAGTCTTTTCCTGACTTGTGATATCGTTGTTTCAGGTGTTTTCAACAGCAGCTGACAATCAAACTCAGGTAGGTATCAAGGTGCTACAAGGTGAGCGGGAAATGGCTACAGACAACAAAATGCTTGGAGAGTTTGAGCTCGTTGGCATTCCTCCTGCCCCCAGAGGTTTACCTCAGATTGAGGTAACCTTCGACATTGATGCCAATGGGATTGTTACTGTCTCTGCTAAAGACAAGTCCACTGGTAAAGAACAACAGATCACCATTAGGTCATCTGGTGGACTTTCAGAGGATGAGATTGAGAAGATGGTCAAAGAAGCAGAGTTGCATGCTCAAAAAGACCAGGAGCGAAAGGCTCTCATTGACATTAGAAACAGTGCAGATACTACCATCTACAGTATGGAAAAGAGTTTAGGTGAATACCGAGACAAGATTCCCACTGAAGTTGCCACAGAGATTGAGGATGCAATTTCAGATTTGAGAAAGGCCATGTCAGGGGACAATGTTGATGAAATTCAGTCAAAGCTTGATGCTGCAAACAAAGCTGTCTCCAAGATAGGGGAGCACATGTCAGGTGGTGGCTCTAGTGGCGGTTCTTCGGCTGGAGGTTCTCAGGGTGGGGACCAGCCTCCCGAGGCAGAATATGAGGAGGTGAAGAAATGAAACGTTTAGTGGTTTGTTACCAGTTTCTTTTTGTGTCTAGATAACAAATTAAGATGAATGAACTCTTTTCAGTAAGTAGAAGATGTAAGGTAACTTATTTTTGTATTAATGTTGGAGGTCATTTTTTTAAAAGGATTTTCAATTGGCAGTACTCTGGGGGTGCACTGAACGATCGCGTTGGAATAACGACATTGAAATTTTTGCGTAGTGATATATTCTCTACATATGATTGGCTTTTACTCATTTTGCACATTATTTAATAACGGGGAAAGTGTTTCTCTGATACAATTTATGTTATTTCACTTTCACAAAGAAGTGAGACACATATTTTTATATTTTTTTTGGTCATTTTTTTTTCTTTATCTATCTTTTTCTCTCACTTAAAATGATATAATTTTACATTCTTTAAAATGATACACTTTTTTTTTTTATTTAATTGATTGGAGTAGCCTTGTTAATTTCAGGATTTTAGTTGTGCAGAGTGTAATTATAAAGCATAGAGATTATACCTGTGTTGCGTGTTCGGATTAATTTTGTTTTTAAAATTTTTTATAACCAAAATTTAATTGAGAGAAATTTTTAAAAAAGTATTTTTTTTTTCAAAAAAATAAATCAAAATCAAAATCAGATGTGCTCAAAGTGCTTAATACATAATTTTTGAAAGTGATATTCATGTAGAATGTCAAGTACGTGTACTGTTATTGTCAATTTATGTACGTTTCTTTCGAACTCAATGATTCGAAAGTAGAGAAGGAATAAGAAATTTTTTAGGTTTTTTTCATTTAGGAAATGATAATGTCAAGTAAGAATTTTACGTTGGCGCTAATATTATTGTGAGCATTTAATATTGGGTAATATTTTTCTTATCCAAACAATAAATAGGAAATAATTGGAGATGAGAGAAAAATTTTTTTTGCAGGTTTCATTTGTAAAATATTAGAGTAGAAGATAATATTTTTCTTATATAACATAAAAAATATTACTCTTTAATATTTTGTATTAAGGTTTTCATTAATTTGATTTTTTTAAAAGGATTAACTTTATTGATTTTTATTTTTTTTACTAACCAATAGGCCAACTGGCCTTGTCCACAGCTCGCATTCGATTGGATTGTGCTAACAAAGAATTGGTTCATTAAGCCCAATATCAGCCATTTTGAACTGGTCTCGTACCTTGACACTTTTTTTTTTTTTTTTGGTAAGCCTCGTACCTTGACACTTTACTACCATTTAAAGTCATGTTGAATTTGATTTAATTTGAAAATATTATAATTTTTAAATCAAAAATCCTATGAACCACACATGTTTATTTAACTTAGGGCATGTTTGGTGCATAGTATTGGATAAGGCCTAATAGCATAAGACCTGATAGTATAAGACCTGATTGTATAAGACCTGATTAAATTTTAATGCTATCCAGCGTTTGGTATGGTACTGTATAAGATAATATCTTCCAATATTTTAAAAATTAGTATATTAAAAAAAATTATTTTAATATATTAATATTGAAACGATATATTAGTTCTTGAAAATTGTACTTGTAAGCACTATTAATACATCAATCTCTTATCAGGCCTAATCCCTCCCCCTTAGGCCGGATTAAGTTATACATCATTTTGATGTATTAAGGGATTCTGCTGTATAAGCTTATACTATACAATGGTTACACCAAACAACTAAAAATGTCATAACGTATAGTATAAGCTTATACTATCAGGTCTTATACATTACACAAAACAGACCCTTAGGTTACTCAGAGTGTGTGTGGATTAACTTTTAAAAAAAGTTACTTTTATGCCTTGCTTATTTTAAAAGTACATTTTATAAAAGTTAAAATCATTTAGATTTTCAAAAAAATATTTTTTTTTTTGAAAAAAATTGGTTTTTGACTTTTATTTTTTTGAGAAGTTAAAATTTTTAGCTTATGGAAAAAACAGGTTTTTAATTTTTTTATGACTTCTGTTTTTTTAAAGCAGTCATCTAAATGTCCTTTAAAATAAAAGTGCTTTTTTTTTTTTGGAAAAAAAAGTGACTTTTAACTGAAAAAAAGCTCATACAAATGGGTCCGCATCCGTCAACCGTTTAAACTCGTCTAGGGTTAATTTGTTGGATTTTGTTTTTTATAAAACAAACGTCATTAATCATTTTTTAATTCTTTGATTGTTAGTTTGAGATAAGATATTATGATTATTTTTTTTCATGCATATTTTATTTATTTATTTCTAATATTATTAAATCAGAATTAAAAAAATAAAAATAAAGAATGAAGGTTAGTTAAAATTTTAATTTATCAATGTTAAAGAAGAATAGATATGATAAATATAAAAAAAGGTAGGCTTATGTATCTTGTCCCATTTAGTTGATACCTTTTATTGGGTGACACGTGTTTCAAATTTTTTTTACTTCGCATTTTCAATATATAGAGACTGGTAAAGCTGGATAGATTAACTCACCCATTATAAGCGGAGCCGGACAATTTTCCACCTCCCTCAAATCATAACAACCAACTATTCATAATTAAATGTTTATTACGTTACATAACATAATTTCACTTTTCTATACTCACATTAAAGATGTGAAATTCACATATTTTTTTTTTTCTCTTTCATCATTTTACTTTCTCTCTCTTTTATTGTGTGTGTTGGAAACTAAACTCATATTATGTAACATGACATTAATAAAATCCACTAATAATTGTACTAAACAAAAATAGTGAGAGAGAGAGCGTTAATATTTTTTTTTTAATTAAATTTTTTTGATCCAAACATGTACATGTATTTTTTTTATTTTAAACATATTGTTTTGTTTTTTTAAAACGAATCACGCGGGACGAGAATCATGCCTTTCAAGGAAGTAAGTAAACTGAATTTGGTGATTATTATCACTTTCCCCTCTACAAGGACAATGCAGAAAATTATGTTTTCGCAAAAAATAATAATAATAAATAAATAATTAATTAATTAAGTCGGAGACATATGATATAAAACCAATAATAAGAGACTAATCGTCTTGACCAGAAAGTGTTGGACTGAGCCTAACCCTAAAAGCGGCAACGCATCGCGAGTGCCACTGTATTGTAGAATGGGTAGTAAGAAAAGGAACTCTGGTGGTTCTGAAGAGGAAACGAAGGTTGAACTCGATTCTCCGAAACCCTTGAAGAAGAAACCAAAGAAGGAAGATGGAGAAAGAGAACAACACATGTCAGATGGTTCTTCTGTTAAGCCTATGGAGAGGAAGAAGAAAAGGAAAGCTGTGGACAAGGAGAGGCGCCGCGCCGCAACCGCAACCGCAACCGCAGCCGTAGATTTGGAGGTGAAACCTGCGGCTCAATCTGTGGATTCGGCCACCAGCAGCAGCAGCAGCAGCAGCGGCGGTGCGCTTCCGGAGTTTCACATTGGTGTGTTCAAGGACTTGGCTGCGGCGGCTGAGTCAGTGAGGGAAGCTGCCGTTAAGCAAATGGTGATGGAGTTGAAGGAAGTTCAGAATGCTTATGATGGACTTGAGGAGAATGAGAAGGAGATTGGTGATGGTGGTTTCAAGTTGGAAGCTGAGAAAGACGATGGATTGGATGACTGTGCACCTTCTGTGAGATATGCTGTTCGTAGGCTTATTCGTGGTGTATCTTCGTCAAGAGAGGTTTGTGTACTGTGTTTGTTCTGTGAGGTTTTGTTTTTGTAATGTGATTAAGCTCTGCATAATAATCATTGCTTTTTTGTTTCCAGCCTATGTGATTAGAGCAGGGGAACTAGCAATTTTTAAATCATGTTTAGTTGTTACCTGGATGTTGTTCATATAGGTTTTTGTTGGAATAAATATACTCTGCTCGTTGATATTGCAAATTTGCTTGCTGATTTTCTTGCTGAGATGACATCTTTCATTGCTTTTGCAGTGTGCACGACAAGGTTTTGCTTTAGGTTTAACAGTTTTAGCTGGCACTATCCATAACATCAAGGTCGAATCATTCCTTAAACTTGTAGTTGATTTATTGGAAGTAACTTCGTCAATGAAGGGTCAGGTAGGAGATGGCCGTGGCTTTATTATTTTGTTTTGGTTCATTCCTCAGCTTGCTGGGTAGTACTATATTTGTGTATTACTTGTGAAATTGCAGGAAGCAAAAGATTGTCTTTTGGGTCGCTTATTTGCTTATGGTGCTCTGGCTCGATCTGGAAGACTTACACAGGAATTGAATAAGGATAAAAACACTCCATACATTAGAGAATTTATCAGTGTTCTTATCGCTCTTGCAAAGAAAAAGCGGTACTTGCAAGAGCCTGCAGTCTCCATAATTTTAGACTTGGTCGAAAAGGTTCTAATCTCTCTCTCCATATTTTTTATTACAAGAATAAAAGAATTTTATCTTAAAATGACTGTTGCCAAGTCTAATGTTTGTTTCCCACTATGTTGTGATATTTTCATGGGTTTCAATGTAGTCTTGATCACACTATACCAACTTTAGTTAAAACAGACAGCTTGTGAATGGAGATTATCTATACCAATTATTTGTTGGCATCCTAGTAAATTTAGTTGCGAGAAGGTGAAATCATCTTTTGGTCTTATTGGATGTTTTGATGCATCTCTTGGATTGGAATTAGCGTGTACTTGCTAGACCATCTTCTTGTCTTTTTATATGATTTTCTGCTATTTCTCGTGTTATTTTCTTTTTTCCTTCTATTGAAGATTTGCAAATATTTCTGCCAACTATAATGCATTTGTGCATGTGCATAGACCCTTACAGTCACATGCAAACAACTACCTGCATCATCAGAAGTGTCTATGCTATGAGTAGATCACTTTCTTATAGGATCATCTACCTGAACATTGAAAGAATTTTAACATTCTCGTGGACCATTTGTTAAACGTTTTGTTTGACTTTTTATATGCCATGGTTCTCCCCAGTTCTCTGGTGACTTTGAGACTCACTTCATATTGCTTCAGGTCATATGTTTCACCTGTCATGCCTAACTATATTTATTATTATTATTATTGTTTTTTTTTTTGTAGTTGCCTGTTGCAGTATTGCTGAATCATGTTATTGAAGCTCCTGGACTTCAGGAGTGGTTTGAAGCTGCTATAGAAGAAGGAAATCCTGATGCTTTGCTCCTTGCTTTAAAAATTCGAGAGAAGATTTCTATTGACAGCCCCATATTTGGCAAACTACTACCAAATCCATTCAGCTGCAGCCAGCTTTTCTCCACTGATCACCTGTCCTCCTTGAGTAATTGCTTGAAGGTAGCTGTTCATTCATCCATCTATGGGCAATACTATTTTGGTTGAAAGTAATATAATTATATAAAGAAATGGTTCTTATGTATTTTCTGAATGTGGCAGGAATCAACCTTCTGTCAGCCTCGTATTCATAGTGTTTGGCCTGTTTTGATAAATATTCTTTTACCTAATACTATTCTGCAATTAGAAGATGTGGCATCAGCTTCTAATTCATTAAAGAAACACAAAAAGAGTCGAAAATCTAGCTCTTCTGACAAAGAAATTGAGAAAAATCTTCAGTCTTTCTGTGAAATAATTATTGAGGGATCCCTTCTCCTCTCATCTCATGACCGTAAGCACTTAGCTTTTGATGTTCTGTTTCTTCTTCTCCAAAAGCTTTCTGCATCTTTAGTTCCTGTTGTTCTGTCTAACAAAGTTGTTCAGTGCCTAATGGATGTACTATCAACAAAAAACACATGGCTGTATAAAGTTGCGCAGCATTTTCTTAAACAATTGTCAGATTGGGTGGGGGATGATGATGTCAGAAGAGTTGCTGTTATAGTGGCTATTCAGAAACACAGCAATGGAAAATTTGATAGTATCACACGAACAAAGGCTGTTAAAGATATTATGTCACAGTTCAAAACAGAGCCTGGTTGCATGCTTTTTATTCAGAACTTAATGAACCTGTTTGTGGATGAAGGTAATGCCTTGGAGGAACCTTCAGACCAGAGTCAAACAACAGATGAAAATTCTGAAATAGGTTATATTGAGGATAAGGATTCTCCTAGGACCAATGGGAATTATGACTTTTTGAAGATTTGGGTTATAGAATCCCTTCCCACTATTTTGAAATACTTGAAACTGGATCTTGAAGAGAAGTTCCGAGTACAAAAAGAAATCATGAAATTTCTGGCTGTTCAGGGTCTGTTCACCGCATCTCTTGGCACTGAGGTGACTTCTTTTGAGTTACAGGAGAAATTCAGGTGGCCAAAATCTCCCACATCAAATGCTCTTTGCAAGATGTGTATTGACCAGCTGCAGTTGTTATTGGCAAATGCTCAGAAGGAGGGCTCATGTGCTTTGGCTAATAGCCCTGAGCCAAATGATCTTGGTTCATACTTCATGAAATTTTTTGGCACCTTATGCAACATTCCTTCAGTTTCCCTCTTTCGGTCTTTAGATGATGAGGATGAAAAAGCAGTAAAAAAATTGCAAGCAATGGAAGCAAGATTATCCAGAGAGGTAATTATGCTTGTGACTATTATTGATGCTTAGAAATAAACTTATTGTGGTCCGTCTTAAGTTTTTAAGCTATGATGAGGTTTAGCAGTTACATTATTCAATGTTCTAATGGTTAAACTGTCTTATGTGTTAGATTCCACTAAATCTTATTGGATAGTCTGGTAGTTGGTTTTGATTCCATGTTTAAGACTCCCCCACCACATCTTTAGTTGGATTTGGGGCTCACTGTTACCATTTATATGCATGGTTTTTCTGCAATATTTTTAATAGTTTTTCACTTTTGGGTTTTTCTTGTTTTATTTGTTGTTAATTTCTTTATACTGGTAGCATCATTTCCTCTAATATTTTACACTTTAAGCATCTTAGTGTGTCTGGGCAGACTAGCAATAAAGTCTGGGCTGGTTGTATTTGCTGTTAGTGATGCTTCACACGGTAATTTGGGAATATGGAAGATCCAAGACATTATTATGCTTCTTGAAACTTAATGTGATCCAATTTCTGGTGTAGCATGGATGGTTTGTTATTTCACCTGATCAACAAAATTAGAGAAATTAGATAAATCTGTGTATGATGAAACATCTTTAAATGTTGTGATAACTTTTGAAGTGGCATTTGCATATATAAGTTCTTATACCAAATCTTTGATCTGGTTTAAGGAATCTTGGTGTATGTTTTGACCTCTGTATGCGTTAAGGTTGATTGTCTGATTATTTTATTATTCTCTGCATCTTTTATATAGTGGTAGTTTTTGGGATAAAACATTGTGATTTTCATCTTATATGAACTATGGTTTAATTTCATTTATTTTTATTAATATTTGTGATTTTCTTTCATCTTTTTTGTTAATGATAATCAGGAAAGGAGCCATGGCTGTAGTGCTGATGCTAATAGACTGCATGCACTGAGATACTTGCTTATCCAGTTGCTCCTGCAAGTGCTTCTTCGTCCGGGGGAGTACTCAGAAGCTGCATCTGAACTCATCATCTGTTGTAGGAAAACCTTTTCTGCTTCTGATCTTCCCGAGTCCTCTGGAGAAGATGATTTGGAGGTTGAAGATGCTCCGGAGTTGATGGACGTTCTTGTGGATACATTACTCTCTCTACTTCCACAGTCATCAGCTCCTATGCGGTCTTCCATTGAACAGGTTATAATGAAAGATGTGACTTTTATCTTTTACAGCTTCATAATTGTACATCAAGTAGATTAGATTGCCACATTATATTCCCTCAGCGCATGCCTGCATGCTGTTGCATCTTAGCATTGTGCTGAGGGGATATGTAAACTTTCACGTAGAACTATGTGGGACGGATCTGAATCTCTTGTTTGGGAAAGGCAAGTCAGCTGTTCAAATATTCAAATGAAAATGGAAAATAAATAACTGAAATTTTTTCTCCCATTTTGGTACACAAGAAGATTCCTCCATTTTTTAGTCGTAACATATCAGCTGTGTTACATTGAAATGTGTGTAATTTTTTCTTTTGGGCCTTACCCGAATTGAACATATAATCCAAACTCCAACTAACAAGTAACAATGTTTTGCTTGGTTAAATTGAAGCCAAAATAGAGTCCTGTGGTTGTAAGCTTTATGAGGTAATTCTTGATCTGGGCTTTATTGAGCCTACGTTACATTCTACATTCTACCCTTTTCATTGATGTATAAAGAGCCTAGTCGAATAAGGGTTGGGCACTGGAATGACATTGTATTATACAATTACCCAAAACCAAAACCAACGCTCTAACTCACTTTTTGAATTGCATATACTGTCTTGTTTTGTGGGTGTTCAGCGTAGCTAACTCCATCTAGATTTCTGTGAAAATAGAAGTTCCTAAAACAATAGTGCAATTTATTGTTTTTACTTAGTTAGGTGGAGATGAGGTGGAGTCAGTGTTCTAGGGCTAATAGTTCCCAGCTTGCTGTAGTCCCTTTTGTGTGTGTGCCGTTTGTGCGGATACCATAATATCGAAAACCACTCTGTGGAAGTCTCCTTGATTATTTCGTTTCCTTGTCAGTTCTAATCATGAATCCTTTGTTAATGAGGGCCTTATTCCTGCAATTATGTTTTCACTTCTAATAGCTATGCCTGCATGGTATTTTCTTGCCATCTGGACACCTTAATTGAATGGAGGGTATGAATATGCTATCCAATTTAATTGATGTATTCTGTGAGTGACCTGGTTGTGATATGAGATAGATTTGTTAGAAATTGGTTGAGCTATAAATGATATGGTATACAGCTTTGGTAGGAGATGTTGAAGTACTTAGTTGAAATGACCATTGAGAAAACTTAGTCATCTCTGGGTGGACTCATTATTTAAAACTTGACCTAAATATAAATATCATGGCTTATGTACTGTTTTTTAGTTTCTATTTATCTAACACTTATCTCTATATGTAGGTATTTAAATATTTTTGTGATGATATCACTGATGATGGACTGATGCGGATGTTGCGGGTCATTAAGAAAAATTTAAAACCTGCAAGACATCCAGACACCACAAGTGCAGATGATGACGATGAAGATGATGAAGACGAAGACTTCATCAATATCGAAGATGAAGAAATTGATCAAGCTGAGACCGGTGAAACAGGCGAGAGTGATGAGCATACAGATGACTCTGAGCCAGTAGTCGAGGTAGATGAAACTGGTCATGACCATCCTGAAGCTTCCGATGATTCTGATAGTGGGATGGATGATGATGCAATGTTTAGGATTGATACATATCTTGCTCAGATTTTCAAAGAGAAGAAAAATCAGGCTGGGGGTGAAACTGCTCATTCCCAGCTTGTGCTGTTCAAACTTCGCATCCTTACATTGTTGGAAATTTTCCTTCATGAAAATCCGGGCAAGTATACATTGCTTATATTATTTATTAGTTCTCGGGCTGGCTTTATGTTTTTCATGCTGATATTCTCATATTGTATATGTGATAATCATAAAAGGGGGGGAAATTTACAAAAAGTGCTATTTTTGCATTTCACAATAAAATTTTTGCACAAGAAGTTCAAAGTTGCCCTGAATAGAAAGTTGAGTGCTACATTTGGCAATGGCTTTGCACCAATTGAGAATCGAAAGAATGATGAACAATGATCACTAGACTGGCTTAGGGAAGTTGAAATTGAGGTTCAGTAGTTTCTGTTTTATTCTAGTACATGTAATTTACTAGTTCAATGTGTTAGCTTCATTCATGACTTTCTGGTGAGTTTTTATCATGATCTTTTTAACTTCGTGTTTACTCACTCATGATGTCTTGATATTATACAGGTAAGCCTCAGGTACTTATGGTGTACTCAAATTTGGCTCAGGCTTTTGTGAACCCACATACAGCAGAAGTTAGTGAGCAGCTTGGACAGCGTATATGGGGAATACTACAAAAGCAAATATTCAAAGCAAAGGAGTATCCAAGGGATGATGGAATCCAATTATCCACTCTTGAATCTCTGTTGGAAAGAAATTTGAAATTAGCATCAAAACCAATTAAAAGGCAAAAGTCTGCATCTAACCCATCAAAGCAATCAGCTGCCTTGAACCGGCAGAAAATGGTTTCTTCCCTTGCCCAAACTTCAACCTTCTGGATTTTGAAAATTATTGATTCAAGGAATTTCTCAGAGTCCGAACTACAGAGGATTGTTCAAATTTTCCGGGAAGTATTGGTGGGGTATTTTGACAAAAAGAAGTCTCAAATCAAATCTGGTTTTTTAAAGGAAATATTTCGAAGACGACCATGGATTGGACATTCTATACTTGGCTTTATTATGGAGAGATGTGGAAGTGCCAAGTCAGACTTTCGACGGGTGGAGGCACTCGATTTGGTAACAGAAATATTGAAGTCACTGGTAGCAGGGAGTACTGATGATCAGAATGCATCAAAAAAGATTCTAAAAAATAATTTGGATAAGCTCACTCACCTAATGAAAGAGTTGGTGACAAATATGCCAAGCAAATCAGCAAGGCGGACCGAAGTACATAAGTTTTGTGTCAGGGTCTTTGAGATCTTGTCTAAGCTTAACCTCAACAAGTCTTTTGTTAAAACTATGGCACCTGATGCTCAAGCTGCCTTTGAGGCTCAATTTGGTGAGCAATTCATTAATTTGAAGAAGCTGGAAAAATAGACAATGGAATATAGAATTGCTGCTACAAGCTAATTAAAGAGGTTATTGATATTACACTGCTCGCCACACCTAACATACCAAAACAAATTGGAAGTACAGGTGCAAAAAGCACTAGTATGATGAGATTGGTGCTCCAAGTTTCTTTCAAGATTGGACTTGTTCCAAGCTTTTGGAAGAGGAATTAGGGAGGGGAGAGGGGCTTTCACGAACATCCTTGAGGTGTTTGATGTTGGAATTTTTGGTAAAACTTTAAATTTGTTATTCTTGTTTGTTTTCTGGATATGCTTTGTTTTTTAAGCTTTACTATGTTACAGATGATGCCATTTTGAGCTAGTAAAGAGATGAAATTTTATGGTCCTTACTTTGAGTTCTTTTATTTCATTTTGACCTAGCAATTCAGCCTGTTATGTTATTTAACAAATACGTAAAGAGGAATTTGCATAATTGTATTAGTTAAAGGTTGAAATTTTCAGCCATTCGCTCGATTTTCCATTTGTTTTCCCTTAGCAATTAACTTATTGGGTATAAGCTTGCTTTATCTATGATGTGATTCTGTCAAAGTTGGTTAATTAACAATTCTGTACAAAGTCCGACTCAAGTACTGATCCCCATTTGTGTTGGTAATAGAATTGACACTATTCCTGGTAAACCGTTTTCATGTGAAATTTCTTTTCATAATTTCCTTGGTAAAGTACGATCTTGCTAGTCCTTGATACAATACAAAACGAAATTTTTTTAAAGCATAGCTCCACAAAAGGCCTTCTTCAAAGAGGATCATCCATCTATTTACTGTTGTAATGTGTACAAGATAAAACTCAAAAAACACTAATTCTCTCCGTTCTATTCCTAATCTTTAACGCATCTATCCTAAAGGATTTTCACCACATTTCAGTCTACCTTCTGCCTACAAATTGCTTTTGATTAACTCTTAGTTTCCGGAACCAATTTACATCTATCTCACACCACAAATCCTCGAGCAGGGGGGCTCAGCACCAAAATCCAATCAGCTACTCCCACGCTGAACCAGCCAACAATGGTCATACCACCTGAAATAAATATGCAATTCCAAGTTTAGCGTATCATTCCATCTGCAAAAAATTAAATTCATAGCGCCATAAAACAAAATGGACATACCTCGTGCATACATTCGAGCCGCACCCTCAAGGGAAGCCAAATGAAGCAAACATTTTCTTCATCCGCCTACCCGCATTGATCTTGTTTGACCATTAGTTCCAAAAACCCTGGCTTCTACGAGTGCCCATTGTCTGCTTCAGAATCACTCCCCGAGGAACTCCCTGAATCCGAATCTACAACACAATTCAAACTTTAGTTTTTTTTCTCTGCCGAAAATGGTTTTCAAATACAAACCAAAGCCTACTAGAAACAGGTTAATACCACTTGACGACGAGGAATCACTACTTGAACCGCTCGAGCTACTAGAACTACTACTTGCATGGCCTCCAACGACATCTTTATCTTTCTCAATCTCCACAGGGGGGAACATACTCATTGGCATCTCGTCCCCGATGTCAACATCCTCATCCCCTGCTTCCACTTTCTTTGGCTTCTTCGCGTCAACTGGCACAGCATCAATCTTCTCACTAGCAGGCAATTCCTGTCAATTTAGTCATATAAGAAAACAGCAAAATTAGTGTCTGACAATGACCCTGTTCTCTGTGCTAAGGAAGATAGGAAACCAATTAAACAAAGGTTAATAGGGAAGGAAATTACCCCATTGCTTTTGCTTGATGCCATATTGTTATTGATATTGCTCATTAGTGCCTGCCTCTTAATCTTGCTCACCATCTTCTTCCAATTAGTAACCAATCGATCAAGTTCCCAAAGGGTCTCTGTGTCAACAGCCTCAATATCTAGCTCGATCTCGTCCCCATCCTGCTTCAAATGCCCATTCCTCTTCCTTATGATCTGCACCACCTGTTCCATTTTCTCTGGAGGCAAACTCTGCAACCCAATTCCCAACTTGTGTTTTTCCTCAAGACTCATCTCCCTCTTATTCGGGTCCTTGGCCTTTGGCTTGGGTTGCTTCAAAGGCTTCACTGGAGGGGCTCGCATAGGGGAAGGCGTGCGAACCGGAGACTGCAACAGCGGAGGGTTGGAAGAACTTGCAGGGGGGGCTTGCGGTGGCTCTTGTAACAACTTCGTAGGAGGAATCGTAGTCTCCTTCTTCCTGACCCTCTCCGGCTCAACATGGTTCCACGAACTGGCCTGCAATTCCTCGTCATAATCGCGATCTTGTCTCGTCCATTCTTCAGATTTCTCATGCAACGGCTGATACAGTTCTTCAAACCTCGCAAGAAGCTGCTCCGCCATGGTGTACACATCGTGACCCTTGGGGTTATAGGTCAGTGCATTGTTAAACGTCAATCGCACATCAGACGCAAAATCCGAAGGGGTCGCGTACATGTTCTTGGCGAGATTCGATTTCACGGTACCTAGATCCATGGGTCGCTTAATTATATCGTAGTAATCGTGAAGACCCATCCCGACAGCATCAACGGGAACATTAAAGATCCACCCATGTTTGTGTTTCATCAGCTTCTGCAAAACCTGGGCACAACCCTTCATCAAGTTCCCAACATCCGAATGCGACCGTTTCAAATCCTTCGCGGAATTCAACGGCAAGGGACGCTTGTTGCCGGAAATCTTTTTGTTCGTCGATTTCTTGGGTTGGCCGTTGAAGCTCTGTCCAGGTTGAAACTCGCCAGACTCGATTCGACTCTTGAGTTTCCGAATCTGTTCGAGCTCCAAGACGAGGCGATTCTTGAGGTCATTCAGATCCTTCTTCGTGTACGATGCGACGTTGAATGTCACATACTGGGAGTTATTGACATCGTTCGATCGCCGGTTGATGGAGGAAGCATCATCGGACGCCGTTTGGGTCCTCTTGCTGTTCCCAAATTTAGGGTTAGGGTTAGGGTTACTGTTAGAGAAAGGCACTTTTCCCATGAATCCTGCTCCACCACCTCTATGCTGGGGCCAATTAGGTTCGTTCCGGTTTGCTAGAACGGCGGAAGCCATAGAGGTGCAAAATCACGGCCGTTCGGTGAGATTCCAGCGTGGCTCCGGCATGAGTTTCCCAATGCAGGTCGAACAAGGCATGAGTCAGTGGTAAATTAGAAATCACGCGCCAAAGAGATCTTCACGCGCCGTTGAAATCCCTCACGCGCCACCGGAGGTGACAGAGTTTCGGGATCGAGAGAGAGAAGACAACAGATATTAACGTAGCGTTTAGGGTTTGGAATTTCGCTTACCCTAATCTGTGCGAGGAATGAGAAGGTGCTGGGGCCGCTTCTTAAAGGCGATTAGATCTGCCCGTGGGTATTCGGGAAGCTTTCTCTACCGTTGATATGTTCCTGATTCGTGATCCAACGGGTGGCATCGATTTCTCGGCTGTCCAAGAAACTGACCGTAAGATCTGGCTCCTACGGTGGAGATTTCCATAGAGTAGCACGTGTCGTTCTCAGAGCTGTATGATGAAGGAGGTGGTGTTTGGATTTGGATTTGAGTTTGAAGTGAATTTGGAGTGCATGTATCGTGCATTTAGGGTTTTGAAAGGGGTCCGGACCCACATTGATGACGTGGTGAGAGGCCAAACTGGCGGTTCCAGTGTGGGGATGAGAAGGTACGCGCAGCGCGTGGCTACGAGTAAAACGCGTGTCCATGAGAAGGGTAGTTTGGTAAATGAATAGTGCGGTTTGGAATTGGACCCGTTCTTCCTCTCCCTTTTCACTTAATATCACTTACATTTGTACCTCTTTTTATTTTTAAAGAAAAATTTCTGAGGCAAATAAAAATTAAATCTAGCTAGTGAGAATTTATTATCTAGTCACGTTAAAGTAGAAGAGTGATAAGTTGTGCTTGTGGTGAATTAATGTAGGTGTGGCAAATTGCGAGCTAGTAATTTAATTATCAATCAACTTAATTAATCAAAAGGATGGTAACAATGTTTTTCTTTGCTGGACCCTCTAAATTGAGGAAACAATAATTTGCAATTTATGAGTTAAGACGAGTTAATCCTATCGTTACCATTCTGTCTTTCTTTATGAATAACTCTCAAATACTATTTCTCTGAATTTTTCTATATAAATTTTTATTAGATTTCGATTCTCTTATATGAAAAAATAGTCATGTTATTTGATTATAATAACTCATTTAAATATCATATATTTTTTATAATAACTCATTTAAAAATCATACATTTTTCAGTCTCTCTTATCGTATCATCAATAAATAATTGTGATTAAATAATATGATCACATAATTAATTTTTAACTCTGAGGGAATTCAAATCCTTCTCTATTATACTCCGTAATATAGGTTTTTTAATACATATAGCATTTGTTGCCTTCGATACAGAAAGAGCCAGAAGAGTTTTCGTTTTGCTTTTTTACTCATTTTTTGATATTTATACGCGAAGGAACTTGTATGTGTCGCGGTTGCGCGCGGGGGGGGGGGGGGGGGGGGGGGGGGGGGGTTAGATTGACTTGACCAATTTCAAATTGACAATGGTTTCACTTTTTCCTATTCTTAATATACAAGCGTTGTAATTGCTATCTTATTAGTTTAAGCCATTTTAGTTGTTGGAAATCCACAAATCATTCCCATTTTTTGTCAGAATTTTTTTGAGTACATGACATAAATTCTTATCAATTGAGTTAACTTTAATTAACTTCCATTGATTATGCATTGAAGCTTTGTTTGACATACCACACATGATTGCACTATCTTAGATTACCGGATGTTGACCATAGGCCAGTATTTAAAATCCTTATTTTAATATAGAAATACTTGAAATATATTATAGAATTGTAAATCATATGTACAAAAGGGTTCTATATTTATAAAGAATACAAGATCTATAATATTTGACCTAATGGGCTAAGCCTAAAACAACAAATAACAAATAAATAAATAGTAATAATATTTACAACACTCTCCCTCAAGCTGAGGAATAGATATTTATCATTCTCAGTTTGCTAATAAGTTCTTGAAATCTGTCTGAAGGAAGCCCCTTTGTCAATAGATCAGCTAATTGACGCCCAGTGGGAATGTATAGAGTGGTAATCAACCCGCTATCAAGTTTTTCTTTGATGAAATGGCGGTCGACCTCAATATGTTTAGTCCGATCATGTTGAACTTGATTATGAGCTATAGAAATAGCGGACTTATTATCACATAGCAGCTTCATAGGTCCCTCACATTTTATTTTGAGAACATTTAGTACAATTTCCAGCCACAGTAACTCACAAATGCCTTGGGCCATAGCTCGAAATTCAGCTTCTGCACTTGATCTGGCAACCACATCTTGTTTCTTACTTCTCCATGTCACCAATTTACCGCAAAGAAACATGTAATAACCAGTGGTAGAATGACGGTCAGTCACGGATCCAGCATAATCAGCATCTATGTAGACTTCTAAAGATCGATTGCCATCACGTCGGAATAACAATCATTTACCAGGAGTATCTTTAAGATACTGAAGAATTCTCTCTACTGCCTGCATGTGTTTTTCCTTTGGATCGTGCATAAACTGACTGACAACACTAACAGCATAAGCTAGGTCTGGTCTAGTATGGGGCCAGATATATCAATTTTCCAACTAGCCGTTGATATTGTCCTTTATCAACTGGAGGACTTTCTTCTTCATAGCTCATCTTGTGATTCTGCTCAATAGGAGTATTAGAGGGTTTACACCTGAGCTTTCCTGCTTCTTTGAGAAGATCAAGAACATATTTCCTCTGGCTGATAAAAGTTCCTTTGCTTGAATGAGCTACTTCTATCCCTAGGAAATATCTCAGTTTCCCAAGGTCTTTGACTTCAAACTCAGAGGCAAGCCGTGTTTGCAGAATCTGTCTCTCCACAAAATTATCACCTGTGATAATAATATCATCAACATATACAAGGAGCACATTAAGCTTTCCATTTTGGGAGTGCTTGAAGAAAAAAGTGTGATCTCATTGCCTCTGTCTGTATCCTAAGGTCATCATAACCTTAGTAAACCTTCCAAACCAAGCACGAGGTGACTGCTTCAATCCATACAAGGCCTTTTTTAATCTACAAACTTTATTTCCCCCTTCACAGAATCAAAACCAGGCAGGATTTTCATGTAGACTTCTTCTTCTGACTCACCATTGAGGAAAGCATTTTTCACATCAAATTGATTTATATCCCAATTGTAATGGGCAGCAAGGGATAACAAGATTCTCACCGTATTCATCTTTGCAGCTGGAGCAAAGGTTTCTTCATAATCAATGCCATAGGTTTGAGTGTAACCTTTGGCAACTAATCGAGCCTTGTATCTCTCAAGAGTGCCATTAGACTTATATTTCAGGGCATAAACCCATATGCATCCTACTGCTTTCTTTCCGTTGGGTCTATCAATAACCTCCCATGTTTTATTTTTCTCCAACGCATTCATCTCCTTTTGCATGGCTTGAGCCCAATTCCCATCTTTCAAAGCTTCATGTACTGATTTTGGGATTGAAGTAGAATCTAGTGTTGAAACAAAGCTTTTGTGCTGCACAGAAAGATTAGTAGAGGAAACAAAATGGGAGATAGGGTATTGAGTACAAGAGGGACAGGAAGAACAAGATTTCTTGGAACAAGTTCTTTTTCCTTTTCTTAGGGCAATAGGTAAGTCATCAGAAGCAGAAGCAATGGGTAAGTCATTAGAGATATCAGAAGAAACAGACAAATCATGAGAGGCAATAATATTAGAATCAGAAACAGGAGATTCAGAAGAAACAAGAGATTCAGAACTTACCAGTGGTTTAGACGATTGAGGTTGCTGGTGAGACAGTATGGGTTGTTTCCTCCTCTGATATATCAATTCAGGTGTCAAAATTTTCCGTATCTCAGGTGTATTTGAAGGTTCTGACACACCAGGAGCAGACACACTAGGATTAGAGAAGACTGATCCAGACTCAAAGAAGGAAGGGGACGAGTCTTCTGAAGAACTGTTCTCCCCATGACGATGAAGACCCAGGAAATAAGATTCAGATTCTTGAAAGGTGACATCGATAGAAATAAAATTTTTTTGACTTGGTGGATGATAACACTTGTACCCTTTTTATAAGGGGTATAACCAAGGAAGACACACTTAAGAGCCCTAGGATCCAACTTACTCCGATGTTGTTTATAAACATGAACAAAGGTAACACATCCAAACACTCTTGGTGGAAGGCTCTGCAATATGGGGACAGAAGGAAAGAAGGAAGTCATGAAATGAATATGACTGATATTGTTAAGGACCCGTGCAGGTAAACGGTTGATCAAAAAAGTTGCAGCTAACACTGCTTCTCCCCAATAAGAACTAGGAACAGATGTCTGAAAAAGTAGTGCTATAGCTACTTCAAGGAGGTGACGATTTTTCCTTTCAGCAACCCCGTTTTGTTGAGGGGTATCAACACATGTGAGCTCATGAATCATACCTCTGTCTGAAATGAATTGTGACAGGCGTTGGTTGACGTACTCAGTACCATTATCAGATCTTAGTCTTTTAATACCCTTACCAAACTGAGTCTCAACCATGTGATGAAACCGAATAAATATCTCTGGTACTTCAGACTTGTCTTTCATCAAGTATATCCATGTTACCCGAGTACAATCGTCAATAAAAGAAACAAACCACCTTGTACCTGAAACACTGTGCACTTTAGAAGGGCCCCAAACATCAGAATGGATAAGAGAAAAAGGTTCCCTACTTTTAATAGTGCTAGAAGGAAATGACACTCGATGGTGTTTTGCAAATTCACAAACATCACAATGAAAGGTCTCAACCGACTTATTGAGAAACAGAGAAGGGAACATAGACTTCAAAAGACTAAATGGTGGATGCCCCAGACGCTTGTGATGGAGCCAAATCATAGACTGTGCAGTAGAAGGATGACGTGTCATTAATAACTGATTTTTGCTAGCATGGTCTGGAAGGAGTTGATACAACTCATCTTATTCATTAGCAACTCCAATTGGGCACTTGGGCACTCCCACCATTTGAGCCAGCTTTTGGGGTGGTGAACTCAAGGTTCTTAACATGGTATCAGAGCCTCGCCGCCCTCCACTTTCTCTTGTCGTGTTACTTAGCACAGGTAGGCTGAGCCTGTTGCATTGTCCACTCTTCAAGCCCAATGGGCTCTTGTGTGAGGGGGCGTGTTGAGATATATAGTCTCACATTGGTTGTATGTGCAACTAATGTGGCCTTTATAAGGCCTTGGGCACTCCCACCATTTGAGCTAGCTTTTGGGATGG